ATGTAAACATATATTTTTTTCATGTCATATTGTATTATATGCAATAAACACTTTTAAAAAACTTTTTTTCTTCCAATATATGCTTTTTTATTGTTAACCAAAAATTTTGTTCTTTCATTTCATTTCGTTTCTTTTCATCTTCAATTTATTTATTTGAAAAAAAAATTTCTTCTAAGGAAATCAATGAATAATTTTTTTGATTTTTCTGAAAATTTATTGCAAGAGAAAAAGAAAAGACAGGCAGCATATTTATATGCCAAAAATTCGCCGCATCTTTTAATTTTGATATTTTCCTTCCTGATGCTTATATGGTGTAAATTTTTAGTGATAATTAGGAAAGTATTATTTTCAGGTATGACAAACCTAACTGAAGGTTTGAAAGCAAGTGAAAAAAACAGAGATGCATCGCTCGGTTTCAAGGAGATAAAAACGATAGGAGACAATAATGCGAAAAGTAGAAAAAAGTCAAAATCGATGACAATAGAAAGAGATCAATGGTCGGGTCCATTCGATTTCATCGTTTCAATGGTCGCATATGCTGTTGGTTTAGGTAAAAGTAAAGCTATAATTAAAAAAACATAATCAATTGAGATAAAATTTTGGGCTGTATTAATTAAAAATTATTAAAGCGCATAAGACAGAAAAGACAGAAAGGGAGAAATTCTTTCGATTTTTTTGAATTAAATTTACTAAAATATTGCTAGAATTATACCAAATTTAATCGTATTAAATGATTAGGAAGTTAATGTCGGAATAAATTTTTTTAAAAAAAACCGTACGGAAAAATTTATTAGTTTGCTCTAGTAAATGTAAGTTTTAGAGTAAAGTTATCATGTGTATTTTATTGAACGACTAGACATTAAACAATTTTTTTTGTTTTAAATGGTAATTTGAAAAATTTTTTTAGGCAATGTATGGAGATTTCCATATTTATGCTTTAAAAATGGCGGAGGTTCGTTCCTATTTTTTTTCTTTTTTTCCTGACAACTTCAAATTTGAAGTAAAATAGAAATTTTTGCAATAAATAATAAACATTTTTGGAATAATTTGATAAAAATTTTTACTTAAGATGCGTTTAAAACTTATTTTAATCTAAAATCAAATCTGTTTTAATTTACAGGTTCATTTTTGGTTGTTTACATAATATTTTTTTCACTTGGCGCATTACCTGTGTTTATTATGGAAATTACGATAGGGCAATATGCACAACGTGGTGCTATGGAGATTTGGAATTTATGCCCCATATTTAAAGGTAATTAGATTAACATCATAATCTGTAATAAAGATAATCATCTTATCATTTAAATTAAATTACCGTAATCTTTGTATAGGTGTTGGTATTGGTAACGTTGTGGTTTCATTTATGTGCATCGCATATTTTTGTGTCATATCAAGTTGGTCTATCTTTTACATGATCAATTCTTTTTCATCGGTCTTCCCATGGGAAACATGCAACAATTGGTGGTAAGCTTTCCATTACTTAACCATCACGAGAGATATGGTATGGTTTCTATTACTTGTATTACTGTAACTTGCTATATAATCCACTGGGGATACGGTATTTTGTTAATTACTTATCGTAATCCGAATGCAAAATCTGCTTGATATTTTTGTAGCGATGCGATCTTTTAGTCTTAATTTACTTTAGGAATGATAAAACTTGCATAACCGGACATGAAAATGCAACAGTAATATCTGAAATTATGACAAATTTGTCCAAATATAATTTAACAACTGAAACAAGCGTTGAACAATACTGGGAGTTAGTTGAAATATTTCAGCTATCATTTTTATTTTGTTAATAATTTTTTCGCAATATACCATAAATATAATATGGTACAGTTATGATTGGTGATGAAATGTTATTAAAAATTGATTTTTGAACATTGTTTTTTTTTTTTGATTTTCCAAAGATGAAATTTAAATTGAAACGAACTGAACTTTAGTAATTAATTTTTTGCCTTGCAATTTAGTAATAATATACCATATTTTTGAATAGCATTAATAAATTGATTAATGATTTAATGATACTTTTAAGAAGTTATTTCTTTATTTTTTGCAGGCGACGAGTGCTGATGCAAACAAATTCGATAACAAACTTTGGTGGAATTCAGTGGGAGCTTCTCGGAATAATGACAGTGACGTGGATTATCGTTTACTTCTCACTTTGGAAAGGCATTACACGTGCTCGCAAGGTAAACAAAAAAAAGAAAATTAATTGGTCTTATTAGAATTACGCATAGGTTCAACGATATAAAATCTATTTTCCTTTCCCTCTTCTTTGTTGGATTTCAGTGGTTTAGGTATAGTGATTGACGCTAAGTTAGGCAAAAAATATACAAATGCGTATTGTTTTTCAAAAGCTTTCATTAAATTTAAATTTATATACGAACTTTTCAGCAGAGTTATTTTACAGGATTATGTAATGGCCTGTTTTGCATTTTTTCGGCCAAGCAATTGCTGATTTTCTGGTACTTTTCCATTTTTGGAATATTGACTAACTTCCAGCATGCGCCACTTTAGTTTACTTCGAATGAAGACATGAGTAGTGATAATTAAGTAATTCTTACAATTAGTAGTAAGTGGTGAAGTAATTTAAAAAGTTGACAAGCAAAGGCGAAAAATTCAATAACTGTCTTAGCGTTTTTTTTTTTTGAGCTGTAAGAGCATATCTGAAGTTTGACGAATTTTTTTTAATTTTAAAAATTAGTTAAGAGCACAGATCGTAGCAAGCAATCTCAGCTGCCGGACAGTAAGCATTCATTCATTCATTCATTCATTCCATTCCATTCCATTCCATTCATTCGGTGTTGTTCAACGCACGAATATACCCGACGAATTTATTGATCCTCTAAACAATTTGCCAAAGATGGCAGGTAACTTTTGAGATTGACTTTTTGGAAAAAAGGAACAATCATATTATACAAAAACAAAAACAAAATTTAAAAAAGAAAAAATTGAAGACATGAAATTAAAATGGGCAATAAAATTTGATATAATTACAACGCTATTATTACGTTTAAAAAAGAGTTTAATAGTAGTACTGATTAGTAAAATATTTTCGAAAATAGCAACATTTTGTGCCTTCTCTGAAATAATCTATTTATGGACATGAAAATGAAATTGAGGTTGACAACAAAGAAAGTACCCAAAAAAAAAAAAAAAAAAACAAAAAAACACTGTTTTGCATGCGTGTGTATATTTTCGGTCTTTTAAATTTCATTAATGTTCAAATATTCTAAAATTTTAACTAAATTTCGAATTTCCAGAACAGTATAAAACTTTTTTGATAACACAATAATTTTATATAAACAAGGATAAAAGATATTTTAAGCTAATTAATGATAAATATTAGAATAAATTCTTTTCTTCAGGCAATTAATAGCGATTCTTGGATATTTAATTGATTGTAAATAAGTCAAGGACATTTGTAGTTTGAAAAATTAGATATCTTTTACGGCAATAAGTCGTTGACTAACGCGGCGTTGCGGAATTTTCCGGAATCCTGTCTTTGTTGAGAATATTCGAGCCTCTTTTCACGTAACAAGTCAACATACTTCATGGGATTCTTTTGTTTAAAGTGTCATCGTTGAAGATGATGGATTTTAACGGATTCTAGCAGCTTTATAGATTCCGGTTTACGACGGCATCCATCTTCATCGATACTTCCAATTAAATATTCGACTGACATCAATCACTTCATCATTTAGTATTTTCCTCTTCTTGAACTGCTTGGAAATTATGAACAGTAATTCGAGATGAACTTAAAATTCGAAATACTAATCACTTCAACGATCATCGTTACCCTGTCCATGTTCTACGTTTTTTTTTCGCTTCACTTCGAACCTTCCCATGTATTGCTATAGTTTTTTCTTCCATTTCTTCACAAAGTTCCCGATGTGTATCCTGGATTTGTTATACGAAGTAAATAATGGCCTATTGGAATTTCATCAAACAATTGTGCAAATTCGATCAATTCTCAAAATAATTTTCCATCTTTAAGCATTTATTGTAGCAAATCATTTTTAGCATTCTTTTGCTACAATTATTTACATAATTTCTCCAGTACATTTCTCATCTTTTCAGCTTCAAATATTTCTTAAATTCATTTATTTCTCTTTTCGGATATTCTTTTTCAACAATTTAGCAATGATTATTAAATGGATCGAATTATTGTTTAAAAAAAAAAGAAAAAAAAATGGATTGTCTTACTTTTTGTTTTTGGGAAAAAGGGAATGAGTATGCAAATTCACTAAAAAAAAACACTTTTTTCTATTGCAGTTTGTGTATTTTTGCGCGTTATCACCGTATTTCATGCTGGCAATTCTGCTCGTTCGTGGCCTTACGTTACCGGGCGCTGACGTTGGCATTTATTATTACCTGATACCTAATGCGACAAAATTATTGGACGTCACGGTATGGAAAGATGCCGGCACACAGGTACTCTTTTCCTTTCTTCTTTTTTTTTTCTTTCCATTCTTCAATTTTTTCAAACAGTTGGTCATAATTTATGAGTTATTATTCTGATTTTTCTATTAATTATAATATTGTTTTTTTTTTTTAATTTTCCAAAAAAGTTGAGTTTTTCTCCTAATAGGAATAAAATCGCTATTGTTTCAATCCCAATTAATAGTTTATCTATCAGTCGATAATACTGATAAAACGAGTAAAAAAATGGATTGTTTTGTTATTTTTCTAACTTTTTTTACTTATTTTTACTGCAATAATATGATAGTAGTAATGACATATATTTATAAGCTTCATGAAAATGACTGTTGTCTTCTGTAAAATGATCATATTTAATGAATCGATTAGTACATATGTTCACTTGTCGTCTCTCTTTAATAAAACGATTGATACCCTTCTACTCCCCAATAATTTGCTATACAAATAATCTTTAATTTTTAATAGTAATAGTATTGTATATCATCATTTAACACCTTCTTTAGAATTGTTTAAAATGATGAACATGTAATAATAATTAATAATAATTGATAATAACAATAATAACAATAATAATAACAATGTTAATAACAATAATAGTAACAACAATAGTAATAGTAATAGTAATAATAAT